TTATTTTCAACTGATTCGTTGTAGGTGGCGGTGTATGTAGCGTAGAACACTCGGCTGACGATTGTCTCGCAATAAGATGGCGTCGAAATCGCAACTTGTCAGATCAGACAGTAAAGAGTCTGTACTATCGCTAACATCTTGTGTCAGTGGCGTTGGAAATTGGCAGGTGAGGTTTTTATACTGCTAGAAATTGTATCATCAGTGGCTAAATCTGACTTTTACAAAATTTTTACTACTTAATGTTTGTAAAATTCAAACTTTGCAATTTCGATTTGGCTAATTGCCAGAGATTTGCAAATTACAGCATCCACCTTGTTTGAGTAGAAGTAGAAGTATTGATCGTCCATTTGGAATTAGAAGAGTACAAAGAAAAAGTAATTTGATGGGAGCAAAGGTTAAAAGTGTACCTATATTTTTTGTGTCTGCAATTTCTTTGGTGAATCCTAGAATAGTGTTAAAATCGGTGTTTATACTCAGGTAGGCGACCGCGCTCGCATTGATCAGCGCAGCGGAACGGTGGCTTATGTTGGCCCTACCAAATTTGCACCGGGTGAATGGATTGGTCTCATACTTGATGAGCCCACTGGAAAAAATGATGGCTCCGTTCAAGGATATCGATATTTCACTGTGAGTCCTTAGATTCTCTGTTTTATTGATTTGTATGTATTTTTACATTCTTTCTTTACGTTTTGCTGCCAGTGCTTGTGTTTCATAAAAAGAAATGATTGATAGAGAAGCTAGCTTGTCTTGTACTGTGTAAAGGCCCTGTACATGCAAACTTATGCATTTGCGGAGGAAGATTACACATTTCAAAGAATCAAAACAGATATGTTGTTACATTTGACGAGCCCAATGGGTCACACTGTTCTCATTTCTCCTTCTGAAGCGCTCGATAAATCAGACCTGTGCCGATTTTCGCTGATTTTGGTCCTGAAACATTTTCTTGATCTAGTTTCCTTTATGAATTCAAAACCGTCTTAGATTGTTTGTGATGTAAAAACAAAGTGTTTTGTAGTCTTCCTGAAAGATTATATCCAAACTTTGTTATCAATCTTGTTTTGCATTTCTGCCCTTATATAACGTCTTGTGCAGACGTTTTAATAATCTTCAATTTTTTTAATGCCTTCAATTTTTGATCGATAAGAATGTTGCAATCGACAAGGAGATGACACAGGCTTTATGTTACAGCAGTTTCTGCCTTGAAACCTCCTCTTAATGATTATTTTTCTTTTGAAAAATTGCCAATTTTCTAGAATTTTCTTTCAGTGCAACCCTGATCACGGGTTATTTTGTAAATCAAGCAAACTGGAGAGAATTCTTCTTTCACCTTCACGATACAAGTCACCTGCCCCTGGAGAGGGCGAACCATTGAGTCCGTATGCAGCTGAATATGGGTAAGCTAAAAATGGAGTGTTGCCATTTTTCTTGTTATTGTTCGTTTTAGGTATGATATAAATGATCGGGTAGTGGTTTCGGGTGGAAAGCAGGGTATAGTAAGATTTCTTGGTGAGACAGAATTTGCCCAAGGAATTTGGGCAGGTATTGAACTCGAACAACCGCTAGGAAAGAATGATGGAAGTGTACAGGTTGGTAGTTGAGAGTGACAGCTGCTTATGGTTTCATTTACTCTGTTTAGGGAAAACGATACTTCACATGTAAAAGCCCTTATGGAGTTTTTGTTCCTGCCGCCAAAAC